GACTGGCCTATAGTTGCCAGGCTCTTCCTTCCTCCCCTTCTTGAAAATAGGGACCACATTGGCCCTTTTGCAGTCCTCAGGGACTTGGCCCGAGCACCAGGAGTCCTCGAAGAGCCATGCCAAAGGCTCCACAATGACACCAGCCAATTCCCTCAGCACCCACGGATGAAGGTCATCCGGGCCCGCTGACTTGGACACATCTAAGCCCTCCAGGTAATCCTTAACTAGGCCTGAACTAACTGTTGGGGGACTCGCATCCTCCCCGGGCCTCTCTACGCTGTCACCTGAGAGCACCCCATTGTCAGCAGACAGGAACACGGAGGCAAAGAACTTGTTGAAGAGTTCTGCCTTCTCTTTCTTTTAGGTCTTCAAAAACACTAATAGTAACCCACAAGTAGAAAATGGGAGCAATGAAGGCAGCAGCAGAGTCCAGGACCCTGCAGTGAGGGAAGTTGATTTGGTAGGACATATCTGCATGAACCTAGCAGGTGTCCTATAGCTGGGAGGGCCAAGCCTCCGGTGAGGTGTCAGATCTTTAAAAAGTGAATTAACAAATATATTGCATAAATGAAGAAATAAAAATAAATTCATATGCTACCCCTTCCCAACAAAGGCTGTGGGTGGCTTACAGTAAGAGAAGAGGACAACTTCAAGAGGCAACTAGAACATCAAAAACAGACCCACTGAGCAATACCTCAGCCTAGGTTCATTTGCCAAATGCCTACCCAAATAGGAAGGTCTTACAGTGCCCCCAAAAGACATTTGAGCTTGGGCTCTGGCAGACCTTGAAAGGGAGGGGATTCCAGAGCTGAGCAACAAATGAGATCAACCTCCCCAGCATTTTGCCACAAAAACTTGACATACTGATAGCTCTTGCAGGAGGTAGCTCTTGCACAAGGAGGCATAAAGGAGAAGGTGATGCCTTACCTACATAGGGCCCACACTATTCAGGGCCTTAAGTTAAAACCAGCACCTTGAATTGTGCCCTGAAAGCTACTGGGAGCCCGTACAGACACTGGAGGACAAGAGCTATGTGCTTCTTGCTCTATCTGCCAGGGAACAAAGCATAAGTGAATAGTCCTTGCATGGCCACAAGGCTTTAAATGGAAAGCCCTGGCCAGGGAGAAGAGGGGCTATCACACTAAGGAGCAACCCTTCTGGCCAGCTCCACTCAGCATCCTCCCCAAAGAGGAAGACACGGTTTTCTAACTGGCCTGCCAGCTTCTCATTGACGAGAGACTCCTCCTGGTCCCCACAGGTCCCTAAGGATAAAGTCTCTGTTCGTAGCTTAGGCTGAGAGGGATGTTCTGCTTTCCTGCCTTGGAGATGTGTCAAGGGCAGGAAGGCCCCACTGACCTTGACCTCACCACAGTGCCCTGCACTACAGAGAAAAGGGAAACCCCAATCTGACCTGCTGAGAAATTCCTTCCTGACCCCAGATCAGGTCCTCAGCATGACCTTGAACTCGGGAACACACCGGTCCAGCATCTGGGCAGATTCCCTGTGCCCCTCCTTAGCGCCCTGACTCCTGCTGTGGATGAGCTCGGCTGAGATGGAGAAGGCATAAAGCAGCATTATTCACTGGGGAAGAAAACCTTCCTTTCTGACCCCTATAGAACAACAGCTAAAGCCCTGAAGCATGAGATTTGGTGACAATCACCGTCTTAACACTGGCCACAAATGTTGTGAGGATAATGAGGGCAATACAAGCAATTCTGTTCTTTCTAGAGCTCAAAAGGAAGGGGAATTACTCAGGTGACTCAGATCCCACCCATGTACACTAGGGTGAACAATTCCTCCTCCATGCCAGCTCCAAGCACACCTTTCAGACAGCTCTCCTAGCCTGCTATCGACTCCAAAGTCAATGATGGCTCATTCCCAGTGGCCTGGTTGTGTGCCATGATGAAATCCAAGATTTAGGATAATATATGAACATTGCCACTTGGAAAATGCTAAATTAAAGTAAACAACACGAATGACAACAAGGCACAAATTTCCTGGCATACCCCACCAGGCTCAAAGCTCTCTACACAATACAGTAATGTCTCTTTTACACTAGCACTTCATGCAAGGAAATCCAATCTTGAGTGAGCCAAAAAAGATTAAAAATAAAACAGGGAAATCAGATCTTTTCAGACTTCAGGTGCGTATCACCTTCTAGAGACATTGTTGGGGAGTACGAGGTGGGCAAGAGCTGAGGAAAGGTTTTGAAATGAAAAGGGCAATGGTTTGGATTTTTTATAGCAGCTCTAAATAATAAATAACCAAAGTGTGATTTGTTATATAACATATACATCTCAGGCCACTTCTCTTGAAAGTTTAATGATCATATGAAAAATACACAGAGTGTTTCCGCTCATTTTGGATAAAAAACTGCTTTATCTTGCTTGCCTTTTGAGATGGCACCAGCACTTTGCCAGGAGTTTTTAGTGTTCAAGTGTCAGGAAAAAGGATATCACTATAACTTTCTTGACAAGAACACCAGCCACTTCCCTCTTCCGCATACCAGGACCTTTAAATAAAGCTTTTACAAGCTCCCGAGGGGTGTCCAGAATTAAAAGAAGATGAATTATATATGTTCAAAGTCTTCCCCTTCCTTGTCAACCCTTTGTAATATTTGCTCATAACGCTCCTGAGGTTTAAGGGGAAACCTCCAGTGAAACTGTAGAGATAGTCCATCAGTAATGGTCCTTATCCTGCACCAGTTACACCTGCAGAAGTTACCAAACTCAATTTTGAAGTCCACCATTATTTTAGTGTGTTACAAAACAGATGACTTGATTTTATACCAATGGGGGAAAATCAGGACTGGGACTGGTAGGGGCCCTAGTATGAGTAAATATAGTACATTCAGCTCCATGGGCTTCATGTGCAGCGACCCCAGCAGCATCACATGGACAACGCCCAAACTGAAGACTTGTATCAGCAAAGAGTGTCAGTATAACTGGAACTGTATCATGGCTTCTGTCAGCACGGATGTGTTGATCAGGGGATAATATTTTCCTCCACCTAATGAGTGTTGCTATGCCAGCCAAATTTGTGTTGACCAATCCGATGTAATTATTTAGAGAAAAATCAGTTCTGTTCTGTTCAGTGTCTACGTTACTGCAAGAAAAATTGAAAATGCCAGACTGGGTTCTCTATTGCTGTAAAAGTGTGATTGATGCTCCACTATAGCAAATCAATGACATCAGCTTGACTTGCATCAAGAGAAGATCTGGCTCTAAGGGTAAAATTCTACCCTCAGATACATGGATACAGTTTCACTGAAACCCACACAGGTGCATCTGACATCAAAATGTAGCCAGTTCTGTCAAGTTTGGGCCAATAAATCAGGTTCTACCAATAAAAACATTGGAAGCACAAAAATTAACAGGAGCAAAGGACCAGGATCCAATCAATATTTTTTCCCAGTGTATTGCTTCATGCTTGTACATGTAAGGATCAAAACTGGCAGAACGCTGAATAATAAAAGCTGCTCTAGTCAGGGACTTGTGCAGAAAGTTTTCACTGGTGACCATCCAAATTTAAAACTAATTCACTTGGCCTGCATCCTTTTTGCTAAGAACATTGCAGTAAATGGGTTTATTAGTAAGAAGCATAACAGAAACAAAGAATCTCTCTCTAGTTACCCACATCAGAGCTGCACACCGAAGTCAAGTGCTTAACTATACGCTGAACTCAATATTGCTGACATATGCACTCAAGCAAATGCTAAGGTACAGAAAAGCAGAAGGCAATGCACAGTTCAGGTCTGGCAATTCTTGCATTTGAGTTAATTTGTAACTGCAAATATTCACCTGGGGAACCTGAGTCTCAAAGCTAAATGTATCCAATCACAAACCAGAATACTCTGCCCAATCAACACAGCTGGATTGTTTTATTATTTGCCAACAAAACTGCTGTGACTAAGAAATATTCAGAGGAACTGGGCAAATCTGAAGAATAAAAACTGAAGAAAATCATGATCAGAGCAAACTACTCACAGCAGAAAGAGAGCGGGGGAATGAGTCAAATAGCCTCTTACCTACAAATTATCCACCCAGCTCCATGGATGGCTGCAAAGTAAGCACTCTCAACAGAGCTCAGACCCAACTCATTAGCTCCAGGAAGGAGGCACGACAGGAGTCAGATTTGCGAGTTCAACAGTCACGTAAAAGAGCACAATAAGCATCAGGATTTCCCAAAGAGTTTGCCACACCGGGTGCCAAGCATTTTGGACGGGGGCTGCCGGGCACCTGAGTGTGAGTGGGGATGAATGACCCCCATAATAAGTGCTGAGTCCTTGAAAATATAGCCCTGAGCTCTATGTGCGCCTCTAAAAGGGGGAAAATGCCAAGTAGTGTTCTGTGCTTTTAAATACAAAATGATATTAAAAAATCCCAAACAGAAGAGTTTACTTTTAGTGGGGAAATGCAGAGTACATGGAAATAACATGGTGATGAAGGGTGATCTTACCTCTTCTCCCATCTGAGTTAGGGTTAACTGCAAAACAGAAAGAAAAAAAAAATCAAATGAGATTTAGCCATGAGAAAATAGAAATTCTATGGCAGGAGAGGTTGGAAATGGAGACAGAACTAGTACTATATATTCTCATGATTCTCTTATGATTATTGCAATATTTGCTGTTTCTTTACGTACACCAGTTACTTGAATCATATGATTAATGACAATCTCAGGTTTCATGTCAGTAAAGCACACTTCTAGCTCTCATGGTTGTAGAGGAAAGGTTAAAATTGTGATCTGTGCATCCTCCTAATGACTCAAAAACCGGAAGGCAAATAACTTAAGCCCATTTTCTTCCTCCAAATCTCATTATATTTAAACTGATCTCATGATGTGAGCGTTAGCGTCTTGGCAGCACTGGGAACATATCCTTCATCAGACCCACAAAGGACAGGCAGCTCTGGTTCTGACGGTTACTGAGACCAGCTACAGAAAAATGACCTGAATGGAACTCATGATACTGGGAATAAAAATGAACAGTGGTGTGGCAAATAAAATGGAAGAAAAATACACACGTAATACTGAAGAAGTCCTTATAGCAAAGAGATGATCTGTTTGCAGGCGGAATGATAAATACTCCTTCCAAATGGAATCCAGGCTTTTCACTGGGTTTTAACAAGTGCCGGCTTGCAGTATTCAGAAGCGTGATGAATTTTATTCTGAATTTTACTGCACAATGGGGTCTTGGTCCCCAGCTTACTGAGAACAGAACTCCTTTAAGAAAAAAACCTTGTGTTTGTCCTGTAGCTCCACTTAGTAGTGAAGGAAGCAGGATCTGCTGATAGGCAGCCGGATGAACCCAGTAATCACTGCAAGGCTACATGGACTACTGCTGTGGGATTTGGAGGTCTTTCTGGATGAGCCAAGGCTCAGTGAAGGACACATACCCCTCAGAAATGTAAAGTGGAATGGACTATCCATTGGATGTAATGCTACAGCCATGCAACAGAGAACAGCAGTCTGCTGTGTGCAGCTCAGAAGACTACAGTGCAGAACAGCTTAGTTTTCCTGACTGCCAGCGGGGCTATCCTAGTTTACGCTACTGGATATCTGGTCCAATAAGAATGCAGAGTCAAAAGAATCCAGGAATGGTTAATGGTCAAGCTATATATTTTTCAGACAAAACCCGCAAGGAACAGTCATGGTCTGGGGTTTTGAAGTAGATGTGATCCAACAGGCCTTTTCCTACCTACCCTTCTTTGCAGTTTTCATACTTCGCAATATCCACTGAGCAACAACTGAGCAACAGTGTGCAACAAGCTTCTGCTTAAATGCAGTGACATGGATGAAGCAGATAGTCTGAAAGAGGTGGGGAGGGCGGAAGAGCTGGACAGGTCATCAAGAAGCCAGATCATTCACTAAATTCAAAGCTAAGGTCTCAGGTAATCAGGAAGGCTTAAAAAAAAAAATCACCATGGAGAACCCAGCATTTCTAAAATTGGCAGTTTGGAAACATTCAGGCGAACAACAGCAGGACTGGGTACCACCTGTGTCGATATCAAATGATGCTGGCATAGGCTGCTCTGATGCAGCTGTTACACCTGCGTACTTCTGTAACAAGCACATACAATCAAACCATTGCAACTTCAGCCCTGTTTCATTAGGATTTAGAGTGATATACCTAACTTGTATTGCTACAGGGTACTCTAAGTGCTTGTTACATTATAGCAGCTGATGCAGTTCCTAAGCAGAAGCAGCTCCCTCACCCCTTTTGAAGCTGTTAAAAGTTTGGTTGTGTGATAGCCCTTGCCTCCCTCCAACAGCTGCATTTCAGTGTAGGAATGGCAAGGCAGAGACTATGGACAAGTGTGCCTTTTAACTGCTTTAAAAGGGGAGAGGGAGCTGCTGGAAGACAGGGAACATCAGCTGCTGTGATGTAACTGAGACATTTGAAGGCTCCTGTAGCAACGTTAGCATCTGGGTTGGACTGTAAGGTGGACAGAAAACTGGCCGGATCATAGGCTCAAAGGGTAGTAATCAGTGGCTCAATGTCTAATTGACAGCCGGTATCAAGTGCAGTGCCCCAGAGGTCAGTCCTGAGGCCATTTTTGTTCATAATCTTCATCAATGACCAGGAGGATGGGATGGAGTGCACCCTCAGCAAGTTTGCAGATGACACCAAGTTGTGAGAAGCAGTAGATACACTGGAGGGTCGGGCTAGGATTCAGTGACCTCAACAAATTGGAGGATTGGGCCAAAAGAAATCTCATGAGGTTCAATAAGGACAAGTGCAAAGTCCCGCACTTAGGATGGAACAATCCCATGCTGGAGACCAACTGGATAAGTAACAGCTCTGCAGAAAAGGACTGGGGGCTTACAGTGGATAAGCTGAATACAAGCCAACAGTGTGCCCTTGTTGCCAAGCAGGCTAACAGCATACCGGATGGCATTAGTAAGAGTGTTGCCAGCAGAACAGGGAAGTGATCATTCCCCTCCATTTGGCACTGGGGAGGCGACATCTGGAGTCCTGTGTCCAGTTTTGGGCCCCCCACTACAGAAAGGATGTGGACACATTGGAGGGTCCAGAGGAGGACAACAAAAATGGTTGGGGGGCTGGGGGACATGACTTGTGAGGAGAGCCTGAGGGCACTGAGTTTATTTAATCTAGAGAAGAGAAGACTGAGAAGGGATTGAATAGCAGCCTTCAGCTCCCTGCAGGGGGGCTGCAAAGAGGATGGAGCTGGACTGTTCTCAGTGGGGGCAGATGACAGAACAAGGAGCAATGGGCTCAAGTTGCAGCAAAGGGAAGCTGAGGTTAGATATTAGGAAAAATTTCTCACTGGGTGAGGGAGTAAAGCACTGGAACAGGTTACCCAGAGAGGTGTTGGAATCTCCATCCTTGAAGGTTTTTAAGACCTGACTAGACAAAGTTGTGACTGGGATGCTATAGTTGGGGATGGTCCTTCTTGGAGCAGGGGGCTGGACTACATGACCTTTTGAGGTCCCTTCCAAACCTGCCTTTCAACGATTCTATGAATGTGAGGTAGTTAACCATTGTAACTTTACCCTGAATGAAACAGGATTACAGTTGAGAAAGTTTTGTTCCGACTGTATCACTACAGGAGCTTGCAAATATAAGTTATATCAAATTGTTGCATAGCTCTTTCCTCAGAAAAATGGAATGAGAGAAGAAACTTGAATAACAAAAGGAAGAACCAACCAGGTAGAATCAAGGCTCATGCTTTAATTCAGGATCCATTTACTCATCATTTATAAACTACTGATAAATTTGACATTTTAGTAAGTAGTGAACTGCCTGTCACCGAGGCACCAGTTTGGTTATAACCAGTATTGATGGCCACCTAGAAGCATCTCTGACTAACATGCTTATAACCAACCAACCAAAGCTACTTTTGTCTGTACCAGGAACATACCCACTAGTAATATTTTATTAGCCTATTCTAAAGGGCACTTCAATGTACAGTGATTGAACTGAGGGTTTTCTTCGAACTCGTTAGGTCAAAGCAGGAGTGTATGTGTGAGGATCCAAAGGGAAGTGCTTACCTGGGTCTTTGGATGTTCCATCTGAAAAAAGCAAAGCAAACCAGTGTCAAGGAATGACTCGCTGCTCTTTTCAGCCAAGCTTTTCACACCAACCCTCTTTAAGTCTATAGCTTTTCCCACTTAAATAGTACAAAGTGCTTGAAACTCCTGTCAGTGGCATTGGCAGATTCCCCGTTTCACAGATTAAGACTACAAGGATGGGCAGTGACTGGCCCAAACACTGTGGGAAGGTGGGACTGGAGCCCTGATACCTCCACCCTGCATCTCAGCTACATACCATTGCTCTTCTGCAAAGCTATCTTGGCTTTCATTTCCCTACCTTCTAGGAATAAAGGCCAGATCCTCAGCTAGCATAAATTTGCCTGGATCTCTTCAGTTTAGTGGAGCTAAGCTTTTTTACAGGGGCTGTGCATCTGGCCCTAAAGTCTCCTTTTGCTTTGTGAATGCTCTCAGCACAGAAGAGAGGAGGAACAAAAGCTCAGTTTTAAAGAAAGAAGGGAGCTCAGAGAAGAACTGCGGAAAGGATCTTCACCATACCTGGGCTGTCAAGGGATTCTGTAGTCATAACTATCGTAGGACCTGTTGCATTCCCCTCTGTAGGTGTTGTTCCTCTGCCTTGCACAGTTGTGTGTTGAGAAGGCAACACTGAACTCATTGCAACGGAGGGGGTCACAAATGCAGATGCAGGAGAAGCTGAAGCCATCTTAGAGGTGGCATGCTCAGTACCCGGTAAGCTGAAATTGTAGGGCTCCGTAGCTGCTATAGCACCAGATGTCCTCACCGCCCCGAAAGAAACAGTCACTGAAGAACTAGCATTTGTGCTGGTTGCACTAGTGCTCTTCCTGCTACCAGGTTGTGTTGTAGAGGCTTCAGTGGAACTTGCGGAAGAGGTGAGGTTGGTGGTATGTGTCACTGGAAGGCAAAAAGCAGACAGCCAGTGAAGTCTCCTCCTTTTGTCTTTCCTTTTCCATCATGGAAGTAGATGAAGGGAACCTAAAAACACCCAAAGGACCCAACTGTCCTCTGTTTCACCCTCATATAGATCCCTTGACTTCAGTCAGGTAGCACACCAGTGCACGAGGAGAACCAGCCCCTGCATTTCCAGCACAGGTCTTCAAAATGATCAGCCCAGCTGAGCTCCCAGTGGTTCAAATGGAAATCAATGCAAGTGAAAAGAACTCTTTTCTCCTGTTCGCTCTCAGCCACAGATCACTCAAGGCAGGTTTCTATCTCAGCATTCACTTGATAGAAGCAAATGTTTGCACAGGGTTTGGCACTGTACTATGCTCTAAACATAGAAACCCAGGGGGGAGGTGGCCTCTCTTGTTATACTCTGTTTGGCAGCAAGATCAATGAGGGACTGTTGCCAACAGGAAAATGCAAAGGTCGCCAATGCCCACCACCGATACCACTTGGAATTTTGTCCTGTGGGATGTGCCAACCGTACTCAGCAGTTGAGAGGAAGGCAAAGTATCACACAGAGCCCTAATCTAGGGGAATCTGCACTGATATAACTACCCTAATGTGTTACGCTGCAGTAAACCCCTACCATAACCAGCCACCCTGATGCACACTTCACTTATCCACTACACTAACATCAGTCCCATCTTGCATCACTGCAGTGTTTGTAAACTGGGGATCTGCTTTCATGCAGCTCTCCCAATGCCAATGGCCCAACCCTTTGAGTACAAGAACCTAAATTCTGCCTGAAGTTCAACTGAGGCACCTGTGACCTTTCTTCTTGTGTCTGGCCCTAAGAGCCCTTATACAGGTAAAGGTGTGATGGGATCTAATGTGCGATCCACACAATGGTGAATCCTGCTATACCACACATGCGTGGCAGGGGGAGTGATTATGGGATCATGAATCAGATGCTATCACACCTTATTGCTGGTGCAGAGGGAGCCTGATCCCAGGCTTCCCCTGCACCAGCAAGAAGCAAGCTCCCACAGCTGGGAGCCCACTCAGCTGATGGGACTCCCAGCCATGGGGGCACCCCATGCACTCGGGAGACCGCAGCTGCTGTATCACTGCAGGAGCTTACAAATGTAACAGATGTGTGGGGCCTGAGAGATCGCAGCAGCTGTGGTCTCCTAGCCATGAGAGTGAGTGGGGCCCTGCACAGCTGGAAGCCCTATCAGCTGGGAGCTCCTCGGCTTGGGGGTGCACATGGGCCCCTAAGCTAGGAGATCCTATCAGCTGAAGGGGCTCCCAGCAATAGGGGCCCCCAGCCACACGTTCAATTAATGACGTGATAGGAAGCAGCTACAAAGTTATTCCACATTCTGTGGGATATTCTGTGGAATAACTTTGTAACTTATTCCTCTTTTTATCATGCCATTAATCTTCTGAACGTGTGGCCAGGAGACAGCTTAAGGTGTCATTAATGATTAAGGCGGCAATCACTGGTAGAGTGACTGAGGGCCTCTTTGTTTAACTCCGACCACCATTTTCAACCAGAGGGAGAGGAAGTAAGAAGCACGCCATACCTGTGGTAATGTTGTTTGCACCTAGGCATGTCAGGCCGCTTCCAAGCAAGAGGACAAAGAACCACAAATCCATGTTGGCCTGGGAGAGAATGGAGAAGAGTTGTATTAGAAACCCTGTGCAATAAGGGGACATTACTGACCACTGTACTCCCACCATGGAGGACAAAAGCCCAAGAGGGAAACAACCTCCTACTAGGTCTTTGAGCACAACTCCCTGACTCATCAAATGCAGGGATGCTTGTAGAACTGCTCCCCACTCAAAATATTCCTTTGTCCAATGCTGTTTGAAATACTTTGTCTTTGGGGGAGTGTTTCTTCTACAGCTCTTGACATGGGCAGCTAATAGATAACCGACAGGCGAAGTGTCTTGCCTAATGTTATTCTGCCAGCCAGAACATAACCCAGGTTTTCTGCGTCTCAGTTCAGTGCACCGGCCTAATCAAATTCAGTAGTTTCATTCCAATCCACCTGGACTTGACGGAGGCACTACCTAATCTCAAGGCAGAGCTCAGCTGACTCAGAGAAGCCAGAGATGCAGGGGTTCTGCTGCATCCCATTTGGCCCATCAGCTTCCCCTTCACAGCAACTCCCTGCAGTTCAAGCTCTTGGCATTTGTCCAAACTTGAAATACCTCCTGGGACAAAGTCTCCCCCCATTCCCTGGAGACACAGGCCACCCCACAAACAACATGGCTGCACTTTAGCCCTGAGAGGCAGCCAAGTTTCCCTGCTCTTTAATCCATCCTGTGATGTCTCTTCTCATTGTATTTATACTAATCTGCTTTAACCAAGCCCATCCCAAGTTCTGGGCGTGCAGACAACGCTGAAGTCACAAACTGGAAACAATGTCCAAAATATAAGGTCCTCCCTGCTCCACCCAGACCGGGACTCTTCTGCCACCCAGTACCACCCATTTAGCTCTTTCCGGAGAAGCCCTGGAAGCATCGAGACTTGCAGGGTGAGCAAAAGGTCAACAAATCCTGGACAAAGCACTGCATTCCCCAGACAAGACCCTGCCAGCCCCTCCTTATGGAAGTCCGGCTGCTAGCTTCAGCACCTCACATGAGCCAAACTGAGGCTGGATCACACACAGACGGTGTCTCAGAAGCCTCATCTACACTACAGGAAGCCACCCAGTTAGCAGCCAGAAGAAGTCAGCAGAACCAACAGCAAAAATGTCCTCCAAGTAGCCTTGCAATCAGTTTGAGCACCCAGCTGTCCAGCGTGTTTGCTAACTGGTTAAGGCACAGCTGGATCCTTCTGAAGAGTATGAACACCTGGAAGCTGAACTAGTTCAAGGCATCTTCCCAGTGTGCTGGTGACCTTTCAGTGTTGTTCAATGTGTCTTACTTCCGGAAGCCAAGAGAGGAATTATGGGATAGTACCCCAGAAGCCATTACCTGGAAGGGGTCTAAGACAGGACTAGGCACAGGTGCATTAAGAGCTGCTCAGTAAGGCTAATGGGGATGAATTAAATTGTGCTTCAAATGGATCAATGCAACTGGCTCTGTTGCTTGCTGTGGGCAAAGCCCAACACCTGCTGTCTCCACCATTTTAGTGCTTTAAAGGTTAAAAGTGACATGGGCATCTGAAACTAGAGCCCAGAGCAGATCTATAGCTACACCCAAATCTGTTGACTCCTCAATTTATGATGAACTTGCCAAGCAAAAGTAAAGTCAGCAACAAGAGCAGCTCCAGGGACCTCACAGAGCCTAGCACGTGACTTGGGAGAGAGTTCCTGCTACGTGCTCTCTGCATCGTGAATGGCTAGGCCTGCACAGGATCGCCAGCAGAATGCAGACCAGACCAGATCCCCCGATGTCATGCTGCTGCCCATGTACTGGTGAAGTGCACAGCTCAGCTTCACTGGGAGCTTGCCCAGAGAAAGGTCCTGCCACCACGATCATCCGATGGCCGCTGGGAAATGGCTTCCAAGCCACAGCTTAAAAACCTGCCTGATGGTGGGGAGATTTCCTAGCATGTAAAGACAAGGGGTTCTGTTTGCCACCCCCCTGCAATACCCAATCTGATGCAGTGCATGTCCCATGAAAATAAGGTAGAGACATCAAGGGTACACAATTCCCTGCTGTTCCCTTCACAGCAGTTTTAAACAGCATTAGGCATTTCCACACCTATGTCAACAGTGCTGTTCAGGTAACATTTTGTACTGGGAACAGCCAGATGAGTCATTACAACTGGGAGGCTTCCACCTCCTGTTGAAACAATGCTCAGTACTGGCAGGGCACTTTTGCTCTTCCAAGCTCTGTGGGACTGTTATCAAACTGATCGATGGGAAATGTATAGACTGCACCTCCCAGGGGCCTGTTTTATTTTGGAGAGGCATTCTGGACTGTTTGCATAATCCAGTGCCCTGGTTTCTCCCGTCCTTGCCATGTGCCAAAGGACATCACATACAGAGACAATGGCATTGTCAGCTCAGGAAATCAGGTGATATAATCAATTATACAGTCCATTCACAACCTAAAGTTGTTCAACAAATCTGAGGCAATGCTGGGAATAGAAGAACCAAGAGATCCCACTTCACCATCCTTTGCTTCTACCAGCAAAAGCTCAGCTCTCTGGGGATCTATCAGATAGGATGGATGGGTAGGTAGATAGCTATAGTGTTACTAAGGTTTTGTACTCTGTCACCCAAAAGAGCATTTGAGCAGCTTCCACATGAAATCAGTAGCAATAACGAAGTCTCTAGTGGACCTCACGGAGATTTCGGTTCTTCCACTGACTCTACTGCACCTACATTTGGAGCTGGAAAGAAGTTGGGCTTTCTCCTCTTGGCAAAATGCTCTCAGGTTTCCTGACAACCACCACTTGTCATGCACAGATCTCCAAGGGCTGCTTATGTTGCGTCCATTTTATAAATGGGGAAACCGTGGCACAGAGCAATGAAGTGACTTGTCCTCCATCTGAGTCGGAGGTAGACTTGGGAACAGAAACCAAGAGTCCTGACTCCAAGGACAAGACCCTGCTTCCTGGATCACGCAACATGTCTTCCATGGCGGGACAAAGGCTGCAACCCCCTTCCGTTTCTCACTTTGACTTTCCCCTGACTGAACAAACGCAGAGAAGCTATGATGCTGTGGGAGCAAGAAGGATGCTCTCCAGCCATGGCCATCACCGCTCTGCTGACAAGGGCTGCAGGCACCTTCGATGAAGGCACATACCGACTGCTGAAATGCGCAGGGACACTTGTTAGAAAGCCCCTGCTAGAAGAAGGTAAAAGGACGCAGGTCTCTGCTTGCCTGCGCAGCTGAGCTGGCAAACGCAGCAAGGACAGGCTCTAGGATTACATCAGTTGTAATGCAGCTGTCTGCTTTAACAGCTCCCTTGATGGTACGCAAAAATAAAAAAGTTCACTGATTCTCCAGCAGCTTGCAGGGATGAGGGGAAGGCTTCAGAAAGGGGCAGCCCAAGCCCCCCCTTGCTGCAGGGAAAGCTCTGAGCACAGACAGTCCAGAGACACCGTGACCAGCTCTGTATAATTGATTATATCACCTGATTTCCTGAGCAGTTGTGAATGGACACGGGGCAACCCAGTGCCATCATTGATTGCTAGAGAGACCGTTAAATAAAGCCTTGAGAGCTGCTGAGGTCATCAGAAATCACTTGCCAATGCTGTTTCATCACCGTAAAAATGGATCCAGGCTAGAGCTGCAGAAAGAGCCATGTGTAACACTGAGCCCACCCTAGCCCGAGCCCCGTCCCTGAGAGAATCGCTCCCGGCCCATTATTTAAATAAGCCCTCTTCCCAAATGCAGCATAAATACATGTGCTGTGCCCGGTTCTTAACATAAAAGGCCCCAGGGGCCTCCCCTCCCCCAGCTCCCTCTCCTGCCGACTCGGAAACGGAGAGGAAATACTTGTAATGTTATCAACACAAACAGAGCTCTTGGCTGCCTGCGACATCCTGTGCACTCTGCACAAAAACACCCTGACGTCATGTCTCTGGATCCACCAGAGAAAAAGGGCCCGACTGCAAGATGGACCTCAGCAGCCAGCTTTAGTCCAACCGGGGAGGGCAGGGAAAGCGGGTGGGGGTAGCCAGCTGGGAAGCGTTACCACAAGGTGGGGGTCCCAGCTCAGGCAGGAGGCTTTGCAGTTTCTTCCGAGGTATTTCCATCTTTGCACTGAATGATCGCTGTGAACAATTAGAGAGCCGTGCCTGGCTCTGAGTGCAGGGAGGAAGCGGGGAACGCTACAGCCCCTCCGGCGTTCAGCCAGACAGCGTCCTGCCACACAGGGCAGGAGGCCGGCTCTGGGATCTATTCGGTTGTAAATAAACACATAACATTAAGTTGATTGACATCCCTCAAAATTACCACCTCTGTGAGAAGCCAGACAGCTGAAATGAATGCTAACTTTTTTTTTTTTTTTAATTGATGTATATATTTCATGTTCCAGGACAAATCAGCCAAATCAGTTCCATGTCATATCAACTGAGCAGAACTCAATCATTCCAAAAACCGTATCGATTGAGCGGAGAGAACTCAATCATTCTGAACACCACGTATGGCGTGACAACCAGCAAGCACCCTCCGTCCCAGGCTCCCACCCTAGGACTTCAGATGCTCCCAAACCCACTGGCCGGCATCCTAAGTGCAGGCCCAAGCTCGGAGGTCTTGGGATTCAGATGCCCCCACTGAGACACTTGATCTGAGCCAAACTGGTCTAGGTGGGCAGGTGAAATCCAGTGTTGGGACCCTAGCACCTTGCTTCTGCAGATATAGGTAGCTCCTAGCGAGCTCTGTTCCCCACGTGGAGCAAGGAGAGAACAGAGCCTCTGCTCATTAACAATGACCTGCTTCCACTGGGGTCTGTTCATTAGCATGGCACATAGGTAGACCAGGTTATTTGGGTAAATATGATCTCTTTTATTAGACCAACTGAATAGTTGGAAAAATTGTTCTTTACAAGCTTTTAGGCACAAGCACCTTTCTTCAGGCCTAGGAGAAGTCTGCTGGTGTTTGTCTACTCTCTAGGGTTGAAAAGAAGCTCAACCTTAGCATGTCACACGTGTTCATGCTACAAACCCCACCATGATGGGAGGCAGCACAGAGCCCTG